CTTGCCCTGCCCAGGAGCATGCTCAGTCACTTTGTGGAACTTATGCATGCTTAATCCAGCCAGAGATTGAAGCTGTGAGGGGATGGAGCATGCTCAGTTGCTCCGGTAGGATGGCATTGCCATAGACCAGTGGTCACCAACCAGTAGCTTGGGATCTACTGGTAGATCTTGGAGCCCCTGATAGGTTATCCTGACTGGTTTGTGCCCTGCCCAGGAGCATGCTCAGTCACTTTGTGGAACTTATGCATGCTTAATCCAGCCAGAGATTGAAGCTGTGAGGGGATGGAGCATGCTCAGTTGCTCCGGTAGGATGGCATTGCCATAGACCAGTGGTCACCAACCAGTAGCTTGGGATCTACTGGTAGATCTTGGAGCCCCTGATAGGTTATCCTGACTGGTTTGGCCAAGAAGCTATCAAGTGCCTTTACTTCAATTGCTCCTCCCCCCACAGTTGTGCAACTCCTGCTCTTTGCCTTAGAGCTTCCCCCATCCTCAGGAGCCTCCCACTTGTGTGCAGAGCAGGAAAAGGAGAGAAGGGGCACAGATGTCAGGGTGCCCCCTCTCCCACCTTGTATTCTGTCTCCACAGAACGGGAGGGGGGGCACAACAGGGCTTGGGATAGAGGGAGTTTGCTCACTGCTTTTGGGATTGGTGCAGGGCCAGCACAGGGGTAAGCCTGCCTTAGCCCCATTGCACCACCATCCAGAAGCCACCTGAGGTAAGCAGTGTCCAGCTGGAGCCAGCTCTGAACTCCTGATCCATTCATAAACCCCCTCCTACACCCCAAGCCCCTGCCCTAGCCCTGAGCCCCCTAGACCTAAACTCCCCTACAGAGCCTGTATCCTGAACCCCCTCCTGCACCAAAACCCCCTGCCTCAGCTCAAAGCCCCTCTCACATTCCAAATCCCTTAGCCCAAGACCAGAGACTGTGCCCTAACCCTCTACCCCGCCTCGTGAAAGGGAGAGAGGATGGAAGAAAGGAGGATGGTGTGAGCAGGGGCAGGGCCTCAGAGAAGGGGAGGGACGGAGGCGGGGCAAGGGTATTTGGGTTGAGGTAGATCTGGATTGCACTTAAATTCAAAAAATGATCTTGTGCTTAAAAAGGTTGGAGACCACTGCCACAGGCTCAAGCACATGCAATGAGATGGAATCTTCAGAGATTTAAGATGTTAAAATTAAAGAAGTTTCTACTAATCACATGCAAAATAAAAA